ACCAAGGTAGGCACTGCCAGCTTTTCATATGTTGTGATTTCTTTGTCACATAATCTTTGTGATAACGTGATTAATAAGCCTAAGCAAAATACCAAGTACAAGGTTAACCATCACAGTATAAGATTCTATCTTATGAGAAAACACCTTGCCCAAACTACGACAGGATTTGTAAGAAAGACATTCATAATGACAGATCACAGCCCAACAAATCTGTGTCCACTTTTCATTACAGTGTCTTACGAAATGCATCTACTGATAAGAATGATCTCGCAACGTTTTGTGGAAGGTTTCATATCTTAAACAAAAGGAACAGAGCTGAAGATGCTGTAGAAATAACCCAAAAATATTTCATAGCTTAGCTAATGTCTTGCTTAAAATTGTCTTCGAATTTGCCCACGAAAAATAACAGACACAAACCAAAATCCGTTTCAATGATAAATCCTGACCGCAGAGCATGATTTTACAAGTGAAAACTGCCTAATCAACAAGATTACACAAAATTGTTGATATTTGTTGCCCAGCACATATTCCTTACGTCAATCTTCACTCTTTCTCTTCTTCTTTTTCTCTTTCTTTTTGCTTGGAGTTTCACCTTCTTCCCCGGGCTCGGCATGCTTTCTCTTCTTTTTCTTCTTCTCGTCTGCTTCAACATTGTCGTCTGCATTTTGTAATTCAGCATTCCCAGCTAAGTGCTTCTTCTTTTTCTTCTTTTCCTTTTTACTGACTGCCTCGTCTTCAGGTTCTGCACCACCCACTTCATCATTTGACACAGCAGCAGTCTCTTCAGCATCAGACTTCTTTTTCTTCTTCTTCTTCTTTTTCTCTTCATCGGCAACAGGAGCCTCGTTGCCAGCTTCCCCATCTGCTTCATTCTTTCTCCTTTTTTGACTCTTTTCCACAGTTTTCTCAGACAAGGGATCGGTCAGTCCAAGAATGGAATCAGCTGAAGGATTGTAAGTCTGCATACATAATAAATTTAATTTAAGTCAAGGACAAAAAATTTTATAGCATGAAAAGGTTAGAAAAGCCAATGACCTTGGCAGGAGTGATCAATCCGCCCTTCTTGCGGTCCTTGTCGTAGAATTCTATCTTAGGTTTG